GAAATTTTATAAATTAGTTGTTTTTAACAATGTAAACTTATACTGGAAACTTCAAACCAATCTGTTGACAATGTCTAAAACAATTTTTGAAAGTCATTTGTACACAATATTATTTGACATATGTATTATTTTATCAATCAAATGTAAGACAATTAAAAATTGCATTTATCGGATAATTTATTTAAAAAAATATTCACCCTAAGCTTTGAAGGAAAAATGAAACTTCATAGTTTTGTAAAAGTACAAAATTATCATACATGTTAAAAAAAGTGGCAGTTCCACTTTCAGTTTCAACACGTATTTCATCATGAAGGCAATAATTGTGACCTAGCATGTGACGAATAATTCCGAAGGCAATACAAACTTTTTTCAGGTAGATAATGAATTTCATCGAAGGTCATTTCACGGTATTCCAATTGACAATAAGTTGATGAGCTTCCTCTAACTGACTACTTTTATAATGAATCACAATGACAAATTTAAAGTTTATAAAAAGTTCCAATTAGAATGGGTGATTCAATAAAGCGACATTTATGACCGTTAACTGACACTTCACAAAATATTTAAACGAAGAAAGGGAACTTTCACAAAATTTTTCTTTTGAAAAACGGAGTCAATGACATCTTTAATTCATAATTTTAAAATTAAACTCATTGAAAAAAAGTGTTTTTTTTTTTTTTTTTTTGTATTTTTTTCGCAAAATGGGGACTTAAATTTAGTAGATTCACAAAAAAATTTGATTTTTCACAATTTCACAAAAACCGACCCTTCACAAAAAGTTTGAGTCTGGTTGTTGTGAATTTTCACAAAATTTGGATCTTTCTTTCACAGATTCACAAATTTATGAATAGATTTTTCACAAAAAAAGGATCCTTTACAAAAAATCAGGAATAACCACTGTTCACAATTCCGAAAATAATAATGTCGTCAGTCTCATTTAACTTTTTTCACAGTACACATTTGAGCCTTTCCCGCCATTTCTTAGTAAACGTTATCCGTTTTTAGTTAGAAAAATTTAATTATAACAAATTTGTATAGTATCTAATAAATATTTTACTAATAATTTGTGTTTTTCTTTAAAATAATAATGACTATATCATATATTAGTAAATGGCACTTCTACGCAACTGAATTTGTCTAACTCATAGTTTTACCTGAAATAAATAAAAGATATCAATCTATCAATAGTTTCTTTATACCTTTTTATAAAACAGTCACGACAGTCTGTAAAAACGCTTTTAGAACTGTAATAATCTTGATTTAAAAACATAAACAATTGCTAAAAGTTGTCTGAATTTAGGAAAATGGCTGATAAAAATGAAATTATCTCTACAAGATACTTTTCTAAGATAAGATTCCTTACAAAGGCAAGGTGGGATTATAAACTCTCCTAGAGTCAATAAAGGTTAAACATAAATAGTATGCATTTTGCCTCAGGCATTCTCTCCATTAAGAGCTTGATATAAATATACAAGTTATCAATTGCTTACTGCGATTAAGTTTTAAGAGTAAAAAAGTATTTGTAAAAACGCAAATTTATTCTGCAATAAATATCACAAATTTCACACATGTCCGCTAAGTGATTTTTTTTACATGCAGGGGTCTGTTTAGAAGAAATTTGGGACCGTTAACGGACCCTTCGCAAAATATCTTTTAATAAAAATTGACCCTACACAAAATATTTTAACTTAAAAACGGACCCTTCGAAAAATAATTAATTTTTTAATCGGACCGGTCACAGATTTGTTTATCTTCATTATTGTTTTGTTAATTGAATAAACCCTTCCCAAGGGGGGGGGGTGGAGTGAAAGACAGATGTAAANACGGACCCTTCACAAAATAATTTATCTTTTAATCGGACCCTTCACAAATTTGTTTATCTTCATTATTGTTTTGTTAATTGAATAAACCCTTCCCAAGGGGGGGGGGGGGGATTGAAAGACAGATGTAAACGAACTAAGTTTTGTCTTCGGCAGACGCTTCTTCCTTTATTCGTCCGAAATGAATATCCCGCGTTCAGCAATATTAGGCTAAATATCAAATACTATTATATGTTGCATCTCTAATTTAGTAGCAGCAATTGCTGTTTATTTTTGAAAATTAAATTTTTTTTTATTATAATTTTACAGTGTTGGGTATAATCTTGTATCTATTTACAATTAAAAAACTCTGAAATTTTTTTTCACAATAACAGGACTATTTTCACAAATTTACAAAAGTCGAACCCTGGTTGAGAGAATGCAACTTAACGTTTATTTTATATTGACAAATTATCAGTTATTTTTTCACAATTTTACAAAAACAGGACCTTTCACAAAATGTCTGGACAGATCCCTGATATGATTTTTGCACTTAAAATACATGGGTGAGGATCGCAACTTCAAAGCATTAAATTAAATATAACTACCCTAAATGAATGAAATAATTTCATAATCTACCGGATTTAAAATAATATGTCAACTGCTAATCACTTAAATATTTTATTAATGAACTTTACATTCAAGTGGCCTTTCTATAGCTGGATTTAACATTAATTAATGAATGTTGTGATTTATATACTTTGTCTTTTTTTTTCAAAAAAAAACAAAATTTACATTTTTTTTTAAATTTATTTAATTCCTATTTTAGGAATGTTCTATTGCGTCCTATAATTCATCATTTTGTAAAGTTTCTGACCCTGTAATGTGTTCAGTAAATGGGTGCTTATTACCGTCTAACAACACTGACTCAGATTCGAATCCCATCATTTACTAGTCGATATGAATTCTGCCTTCAGCTCGCGCCAACCTAACACCTCTTAGAAGTAGGAAGGCCTCAGCACGGATCAGTTTAGTAGTCCGATGTGACGAAGTTAACTGCACAGTAGACGAAAAATACGAAATATGTCATTACACGTTTGGACTACTAAAGGATATTTATGGTAACCCGTGCTGAGGACTGCTCTTTTCTAGGAGGTGTTGGCCAACCACGGTGAACATTCACAGTGATAGACGGATCATAGGATAGAATCCTCTTGCCCTCTTGGTTTTCCTTTCCATGCAATGTAAATGCGAGTTATATAGTTCAATCAACAAAGTCTAAAAAGTTCCATTAAAAACCTATAGGAGTTCCCTGATCTTCTGAGTCAGTTCAAAATTACAGGGCTACTGAGTTGAACATTGAGAGTCGAAAACCCAAAAACCTATTTTTAAAACTTACCTATTTAAGATGATTCAATGAAAAAAAAGACAGTTAATAATTGCTCACTGTGTCTTTTTTATTATTTAATTTAAACATTTTCAATTTTTTAAAAACAAATTTTTAAAATTGCTTTGAAAGGATTTGAACGAAAACTAAACTTTAATTTAAAAATCATTTGGTTAATAACTTAACAATACAACAGATAGTCAAAAGCTATTTAGGGATTTAAAATATTGTTTTGTAAACGTAGGAATAGATAGTAAAATTTTAAACTTTTGTAAGTTAACTAAATTTGGCAACTACCTACTCCCGGTTTACGATATTTTTAAAAACCTGCATCAGAAATCTTTTTTTTTTCCAATGGCAGGCACTGAATTTGAATCTTTGCTATACTATGCCAGAATTGTTGCTCATTTCGCGTTACCCAGTGGGCACCTGCGAACCAAAGTCACGGAGGCGAGCAACATTACCCACGCCACACTGCCACAAACCCATTTATAGGGTGGGCCACATTCACACATCATACACACACGCAACAGAGGACAGCACAAAGAGAGAGAGAAACATCCATGCCCAGAGCGGGATTCGAACCTGCAGCCTATGGCTTCGCAGTCAGGCACGCTAACCGCTCGGCCACCAGGCCGGCACATCAGAAATTTTACAAAATATGTTTAGCGTAGTAAAATAATAATTTTGTATGTGCCTATTGATATATTTTTGTAAAATTTGCAGCAGGTGGGTAACAAAACTGTTGTCTGGGGAGAGAAAGTTTGATTTAGATCTGCAGTTTTTTATTCATTAAATGCATGTCTTTTAAAAATGACAAGTGAACTTCAAATTAAATTGGGTTTCAATATTTGGTTTTCGATAATCGATGTTGATAATAGTTTTCACTAGATATTTATCCGGCATTTACAATATACCGGGGATTTATATTATAAAATAATGTTTTCGTGACATTTAAAATAATATTTGACTATAAATTCACAGTATTCTATTCATCTTTAAAAGTATAAATAGAGTATCGAGTTTCAAACTAAAATTTAAATTATTTAAAAAGCACTTTTACCTACATTTGATAGAATTCAATTGCTACTCTCAATATCTCGGAATCCTTGTTATGTTAAAAAATATTTTCCCATTATATATCCACCGAATGTTAATTTGAATTCCTATGTCGAAGGATTTTTCTCAAAACCTTGATATGACGAAGTTTTAAAGGAATTTGAAAAGGAATTTTTCGGAAAAATCACAATTTAAGTTCATTGTAAATCAATTATTTAATTCATAATTGTTCTTGTCTTACTTTTTAAAACAAAATTATCATTGTTCTATTTAGACTTATAGTCAACTATCATTTACATATTTAATAGTTATTATTCTTATGTTTCAAGACTCTACCTTTTAGAGCAATGTTTTGGATTTTTTTTTTTTTTTTTACTTTTTAGAACATATTTAGTTCTGAACTTGTTCTCGCGGAAACTCGCTATCTCGAAATTTTTTTTAACGTCCCTTCAACTTTATATCGAGAGTATACTGTACTATCTTTCATTTTAGAGTTTTATAAAATGAAGGACTAACTGAATATATCTAACAACCCACCAATACAGTGTAAACTAATATAACTACTTATTTCAGTTGAAATTAATTGATAGTACGAAAAATAAATATCACCCAGAATAACTTTTGCTCAAATGATCAGATTTTTAAGAACTAGATTCGAACTTGAAAGGGTTGAACCTCAAATATGCAATTAAGTAGATCTAACTATTAAGTTACGAAATCATGTACAAAAATATACCTTCTCTGATTAAACATACCTTTTTTAAGACACCTTTTGATTTTAGCTCATCAAAACATGGAAGTTAGCTGTAAGCTGTAAAATGCAATCCTAACTTAGTTAGGGAAACGATCGTTCGAGATCTTAATATAAATTCCAATATTTGTGCATTGCAAGCAGTTTTTAAGAGAATCCAAAAATTTTATTAACACTATTATTAAATTTATTTATACACTATATACTTTCATATGCATTAGTTTAAACAATATAGACTTCTTATAAAGATATTTATTTCTTATTTTATTTAATAATGATCGATACATTTTGGAATTGCAAGATACTCAAAATTTTAGACCATTTTAAACTAATGTAATTTTAAATTATAAAAAGCTAAATCGATCGTATAGTTCTTGAGAAATGAAACAGCTTAAATATGCGGCTTTAATTCTTTTAATATAATATAATAAAAAAATAGCATTTAACTATCTCCTCAGGTGACTTAAAAGGGTTACACTTAGTGAAGAATTAACATACCTCAATCAGTTAAATATTAGTTACTGGTTAAATTACCATAATATTTAAGAAAAAAATCTCTTGAATTAAAAGGAGAAAATAGAAGAAAACAAGTAAAAACTATCGGCCAATAAAATATTTAAATACCTCAATCATTAAAGTATCCATTTTTTTTTATAAATATAATAATAATATTAAAGAACTAAAATCTTTACAATTTAAAAATAAATATTGGAAAAGTATATATTTTTTAAAATGTAAAGTGTTTTTTTTTATATTCTAAACAAAATTAAGATTTTCTGTTTCATTAAAAATTAATGCTTCAATTTATATGCGGCAAATTCATGTCGAAATTAATACTGTTATTCAGTGTTCTATTTATATGTAACATTTTTATGAAGGCACTAAATTAAGAAAACAGTAAAATCCCACAAAAAAAAAAAAAAATTATCGGACAATAAAATAAACCAATCAGTAAAGTATTTTATAAAAATATTAATAAAAATATTAACCTTATAATTTAATTAAAAATGTTGAAAGTAGTATCGATATTCATTCTTTTGTTTATACGTAAGATTTGTTTACAGATACTTAAAGTACCAAATTAAGAAAGCAGTAAAAAGCCAACAAATAATAATTATCGGCCAATATAGTAATAAAGTACCTCAATCAGTAAAGTACGAATCATTTTTTTAATAATAAATATTAAAGAAATACTTATATTTAATAAATATTAAAGAAATATTTAATAAATATTAAAGAAATACTTAATAAATATTAAAGAAATTTTTAATAAATATTAAAGAAATACTTACAATTTTAAAAAAAATTAATACTGCTATTCAGTGTTTTGTTTACATACAAACTTTTTGTGCTGAGATTTGAAGAATGAGATAAAGAAAGCGATCAAAGATAACATTAAACTAGTTTAATAAATACTGAAAAGATAGGATGACTTACCACCAAATGTACTCAAAAGTCACTATAAAATAGGGATTTGGGTTGTTGACTTAAAGCACTAGAAACTGAATAAAACATAGGATGTCATTTTTAATTTTACCGCACGCTTCGAACTCATATGAAGTTGACGTGTTTATGTTTGGAAACTTCAGGTCATCCACAGTCGGGTACCTTTGCACTCGGCGAACAGGGTTGGCGGATGGGAATTGATAAATGTTGCCAAGACGCCAAAATCACTTCTTTCTTTCTTCTTTTTTATCTAGCTTTGCTTCTTCATGATTAATATTCTTATCTTATTTTTAAAATACAATATTCCAAATAACATAACCCATTATATGATTTAAATTTTTTTTTAAAAAGTGTTTGAAAATTTTTCAATTTTTCTTAATGTTTAGTGTTTTCAAATCATTATTGAAATTAATTATAGATGCTATTAAAAATTTAAAAACATGTGGGAAATTTAAATTTTGCATTAATTGTCATATTATTTTTAACCCATTGACGGCTTCTAATTGATCTATTCTATATTTTTGTAACTTGTTGTAATCAAACTAGATGAAGAGCATGACTTGACTCAGTTACGAATTTTGATAGATTGGGAATGAATAAAAATACCTTTACAAATAAATTTTTTTTAAAAAGTGGGGGAAAAACTTATTTTAAAATTTTTTTAAAAAAGATTACTCTTTACATATTTCTTACTTATATTTTCTTTCGCTCTCTCTATCTCTCTCTCTCTCTCTCTCTAAAACTAAATTAAGTAAAAAAAATTAGAAGAATTTGCTCATTAACCCTCATAAATGTTACTAATTTATCAATGTTTCTTTTTATTATAAATATATTTTTCCAATAAAGCAAAGAACACTTAATAAAATATGCAATTATTATACCTAATTTCATGTAAGCACATTTTGTTATAATTTTAAAAGTACAATTTTTATCACAACAATATGAATGATGTTCTAGATTTGAAAAACAATAAACTTTACTTTAAAAATTTATTTTTGAAAATTAGAATGTTTGACAGAATAAGAATATATAAAAGAGAAGCCATTTTACTTGTTAATCATAACCTTATTTCCTTATATCAATTCAAATAGTGAATGACTACTGAACTCTTTCATTATGTTTTACCTACTTTAAAAATGTTAAGATGCTAACTGGTTAAACTGATAAATAATAAGATGCTATACTAATCTCTATCTATCTTATTTTTACATATTTATATACTTTTTTTTATTTTACTTTAAACATCAACTTACGCATGAGTACAAAAAATAAAGATTTCGAGAGAGATAAATAAAATTTTCTGCAACAATGGAATCCAAAAGAAAGGGAAATGTAAGACCTTCTGTTTTCCCTCGTTATTTCAATGGAAGAAAATCGATGCGGAAATTTTTTAGTAAAAATATTAAAATATAGTTGTTTACTGTGCTGCATATGATTGTACAGTAACATTTTCTAAAGGATGGCCATGGAAGGACATTTCATAGGTAGGTTAGTTTATCATATTTTTGAATAACAGTTGTTTTATTAATTATATCCCATAGAGCACAATTTATCCAGTAGACGTCCAGAATTAATTTCCCATCGTGGATCGAATACCGACGTCTACTAGACGTTTTCTTATAGCTTATTTAGGGATAATCCACAATGGCTTAAGTGTAGACGTCTTATAGATAACTCTGTAGACGTAATGCGGATAAAACACGCTGTGTATCGTGGGAGACGTCTAAGAAGCAACTATCAAAAAACGTCACTTAGAATGTTTCTCGTAGTTGAAAATCGGACGTAGGATTGAAGTGAAATGAATAGCTTGAGGAATAAACGCATTTAGAGAATACTATTTAAATTTATTTACAATTTATACATAATGCATTTTAAGTTTAATTTGGCATCAAATATTTAAGATAAATATTTATATTACAAAAACAAAATAAAAAGAACAAGAAAAACTTTCAAAATTTACGAATGAAAGTTTTTATTTTTATTTCTAATAGCACATTAAAAGACAATTGAACTTCAAAAAAATGAGAATAAATCTATAAATAAGAGCGATGCAATCCAGTAGCGTTTCCAGATAGATTTCCGAGGGAGAGCAAAGCACATAGACAGGTGAGACAAGTCTATTACCTCGTGGAGGTCACACAATGTGCAAAAGGGATCATGAACCACGTTGATGCGACATAGATGTTTTTCAGACAATCTTGGTTAATTATCAGACGAAACATGGCAGCAGATTTCATCCTAGGTCACTGAGGGACATTGAGAATCTGTTTAAGGCATAGTTTATTGGAATTACGATTTTTGCGTTCCTCGTGACAAGAGGCCCTGAAGATATTCTTTATGAGACTTTTGATATTATAGAAAGGGAGTCTGTAATTAGATCTCTGTAGGACAGAGGTCCCCTTTCTTAAGAATGAAAGTTGATGTCAGAAATTGAGACCTTCTTTTCTAGGTTAGCATAAACAATATTTACTTTTCACGTAAGTGCAAACGGCTCGCTTTAGCTCATTTTTTAGGGACCTCCCTGGCCTAGGGGTATCGAACGCCAAACGCTCTGTCAAGCGTGGAGGTGGTGGGTTCGGATCCCGCCGTAACCCGTGTTACGGCTGGATGTATTCTTTGTGATGTCCTTCTCCGTATTGTGCTATCTGTCCTTCCACTTGACAAAGGTTTATAAGCCTTAATTGAGCACACAAGCCTGCAAATGTATGTTGTGTCAATAAACCAACCTCATTTTTTTGTTCCCATAAGAACAATTGTTTTTGGTGTTCTAAAAGCTTCAAAGTTTAGAGTACTACTGTTATAAGTTATACTGTTATTATACTACTGTTATAAAAGTGTAATAGTAGTAATTTACTATTGTACTTTTTCGAGTTTAATGTGATAAATGAGTAATTTACTATTATAATTTATTTGAGAAGCATGATTTTTAAGCTAATATATACCATTTTATTGAGTTATTTACACGAAATTATATTTGTTAAGTGTCTATCGTCTGTTCGTCATTGTTCGTTTATATTCTGTATTTGTAGTCAAATAAAGTGTTTTATGATTACTTCTTCATATTTTGCTTCGATGTCTACCTAATTTAGAAACATTTGCTGGCGTCTTTGCAGTACCGTCAAATCTACATTTTTAAACTATTTATTAGAGTAAAAATTTGTTTTTCATTAATGTAGCTTCTAAAAATACTGACGGATTAAAGAAGTCTTCAATTCAACACAATATCGAAGATTATTCTTTAAGAATTTCAATGATTTTGATGAAGAAGAAACTAATGACAATTTAATTAAACTTAAACTTATTGAACAAACAGCGAACTTATTGATAGACACTGAAATAAAAAACAGAGGTAATCTTAATGCTAATGAGGTTGATGAAACAACATACGAGGCTGAATTTGATGAATCGGAAACACTTATGGATCGTTGGCGATTTTTAGAACAAACTTATAATATTCGCGACTTCTGCGGAAGAAGAATCTGCATTTGGTGAGAAAGCTTTGTCAACATTACATTGTTACAAATACATTGTGTCTCGTAGTGGACAGATCGTTAAGACGCAGTTCCCAGCAGATCACCGAAGTCAAGCATCACTGGCTACAGTCCGTGTGCGGGTGGTTGACCACTTGGATCAGTCTGCTTGGGGACCGAGGGTGTGCGATATTGGTCCTCGTTAAACTCTGCTACCGTAAAGTGCTCGACTTCACGCGCAGGTCGTCGGGCTACCGAAGCGGGGGTGCCATCCCCTCCGCAGAGGATCAAAATTGTGATGGCATGTCTTCGGATCATTCTCCGGGATGTTTCCCAGATCGTCGCCAATAGCCCATTGTGCAGTTCTAGTGCGACGTAAATTAACAACAACAAATACATTGTTACGTTATCCTAAAATCCAATGCCCAGTTTTTATTGAAGATATCAAAAACTGGTTAGAGTTTGGGGAAAATTTCAAAAAATTGATAAATATCTCAATTTGGAGAATCATGATAAATTTTCGTTTCTATCACAAGCTATACAATGTGACAGAAAAAATTGCTGAGGAGTTGATTAAAAAAAATTTTCCAAATGGAGATAGGTATAGAAAAGGCTTATAGGCCAACTTAAAAGTAGATTAGGAAGAGGGAAGCTATTCATTCAAGTTCATAAAGGACATCTACTTTCTCTCGTCCTCCAAAAAGATTGCGATCAAAGAAAATCACTAGAAGAGCTCTATGATTTTGTTAGAAACTAAATTACGTGAGGTAGAGACCCTGACTTAACAAGAGATAATTATGCACCCAGGTTGTTCCCCATTATAATGTGAAAATAAGAATATATGAAAGTTCAAGCCCCTATTGTGCATTTCTTATAATAAAATATTTCATTTTGTATTCATTTTTATTATGAATAACATTTAGGGATAAAATCAGGAAGTTTTGTATGCTTCTGATTTGTAATTTAATTTTTAAACACATTAGTACTTCTCTAGGTATGATTACATTAAGTTATATTCACTAATTATATTAAATTTAGTTTAGATAATTGACCAAACATTAAAAATGCTTATCAGTTTATGCATTTATTCATTAAATCAAATTGTCAATAAATAAACAAATAGTCATTAATGAAATGGTCAATATCATCATACAAGCGATTTTTACTGATTTGACTCAAATCATAGATAAATCTTTTCATGTTCATAGTATTAACTCAAAGAGAATTCATGATTTAAAAAAAATTTTTAATGCTAATTACATTACATTTATGCTTTAAATGCACATTTTTATTCCAAAAATCTAGTAATTGGGACAATTTTTTTTTATTCGTTGAGCAGTAAGGTGACTGAAAAATTTTATAAATCATCTTAAACATTCGATTCTTTTAAAATTTTATATATAAAAAAGAACCGAGAGCATTTGCTTAGGTATAACTGAAAAGTTTTTAAAAACGTAAGTGAAGACGTGTAACAAACTTGTCCTTTGTATATCGTTCATATACAAACTCAGTAATTTAGTATTTCGCATTTTTAGGTCTCAATAAATGTGAGAGTGAAATAACAATTTGGTTTTTTTTACACTCTTAGAAGTATTGAGGATATAAAAATTCGAAATTCTAAATAATAGAGTTCATATACGAACGATATACAAAGAGTATGTTCGTTACACGTCTTCCAACAGATCAGGAACAATTCCTATGGTTGTCTCTAAGACGTCCATCCCAGGATAAGCTATGGATCAGGTTATTCATATGCCATTCATGTAAAAGTTATGGTATATCCGTTTATGGATGGCTTTTAGACTTCTACTCGACCTTCCGTAGATCAATTGGCGACCACATGGATCTTCGTGGATGTTTGCGATGACTTCTAGTGGATATCCACTGAATGATTTCCTGCTATATGAGATAAATGAACTTTTAGAATGTTGTTGTTTCCTTTAAAACATATTTAGAGAGAGTATTCTTTTTATTCATTCTAAAATACAAATTTATACTTTTAAAACTATCTTACAAGTTAATATAAACGAATAAGAACGCAACCATAAAGTAATGATTACATAGATTTTTTTGCATTAAGACATATTTTATTTATTTATTTTAGTGCTAAAATGGAGTAGACGAAATTTTGGAGACACTGTTGCTTCTTTCCATTTCCGTTTACTTACGTTGTATTTATTTATTCTCTATAATACTTTTGAAAGAATAAATTCTTCAATTTTTTTTAATTTCAGCAGCTTTTGTTGAATTAATTTAGTTATTAAGATACAATTTCTAGCAGAGAAAAGGAGTCACGAAACTTACAAAACTATTTGATACATAGAACAAAGTTTTTTTAATGATTTTTTTTAACAATGTGATACCTGTAAGTGACGTATTGTGGGTATCTCGATCCTGATTGGTTGTTGAAACGAGGCATTTGCTTACGTTAGCAACTGTTTCTTCCCTTCTATTTCGAGTAAGCCAAGCCCGTCAAGCATCAATTCTCTTAAATGATACATTCCATATTCTTACAAAAAAATTCTTTTACAAAGATTCCAATTCTTTCACAATATATTTCTTACTTAACATACGGGCATGAAGCCATGAAGAATATAAGCAAACTAATTATGCATCGACGTTGAAAGAGACGCAAAAAACAAAAATATATCAAGTCTACAAGAAAATACATAAATAATAAATCAAAATTAAGTAAAAGACGTAGCTGAGAACGAATTATATTTCAATAAATTCAATGTGCAATACGGCCCTCTATATAATTAACTTCACGCTAATTAACATTTCAATTTATGTGGAGAAACATAATTCAACTTTAACATGCCATTTTGCTTAAAAACGATCAGCGGGTATCCGTGGGTATTATATACTGAAAGATTTCAAAAATCATTACTGGTTTGAAAAATTCAAACTCTCGCAACCCCAGTGAGCCCTCAGAGCTGTTTGCTTCTGTGTGGGCTGAATAGCTCATGCTCCTGTTAGAAACATTACTTTAGTGTGCATTCACACTGTACTCAATTCAGACGTGCATGTGAATGTAGTTATAATGAGCGCATGTGATCGTATATGTGAATAGTATGCAGGGAGAATGCTCCATAAGACGAAATGTTCACAATGCGCAAAGTCGTATAATAAGTGTGATCACATATTCTGCTGTTGTTGTTTACTAATGCTACGGTCCAATACTAACCGGTAAGCTTGGTGAAATCAAGCGAATTTAAGTTGTTGTTGTTGCTGTTCATTTACGTCGCACTAGAGCTTCTTAAGGGGCTATTGGCGACGGTATGGGAAACATCCCTGAGAATGATCCGAAGACATGCCATCACAATTTTGATCCACTGCAGAGGGATGGCACCCCCTCTTCGGTAGCCCGACGACCAGCACGCGAAGTCGAGCACTTTACGGTAGCACAGTTTAACGAGGACCAATACCGCACATCCTCGGTCCCTACGCAGACTAATCCAAGTGGTCACCCACCCGCACACTGACCGCAGGCAGTGATGCCTGACTTCGATGATCTGATGAGAACCGTGACTTAACAATCAGTCCACTGCGGGACAGCGAATTTGAGGCAGAGGGTGCGCTTCTTCTTTTTCAGTGGTGCCATCTATGATCAAGAATATGACTTCCGCCAAACACTCGTCACAGCCTGGCTAAGAGCGTTTACTCATTCATACATCCATTCATCCGCAGATCAAAATTTGACCTGAATCAGAGAATGATCAATCTCAAATTCAGTACCCCCATGGGTATTGATTTCGTTTTTGTTGTGGGACCCAACGTGCTTTGTGACCCAACAGAGTTAACGTGCACCAGTTACCTTTTACTGCAAGGGATGTTTTCGGCCGACGGAGATAAAACTCTAATCTTGGACAAGGGCCCAACGCTCTACAAACCAGGTTATGTAGGCCATTCGCATATTTTAATGGTATACAGTGAGAATGGTCCCCTGATGTGCGTTTCATTTGCTAACACGTGTGCGAATTACATTCATGTGCTATCCCGTACTCAAATCGGAGGAAATGAAATCAGTCCTGAACTTACCATTCTCACTACATGCGAAAAATTCATGGAAACGAATATTAGCTTAATTAGCGAATTTTTAGCTGGTTCTGGTAAATATATTGTGCCAACCAGGCTTTCACTCGCAACCCCTAATTTACCTCTACGAATTTTCAGCATGCAGCAAAAATGGTCCCTAGCTTTTGCATGACGTCATGCGTAACTAGTCTGTATAAGTTTTTTAGAACTATTTTATAGTAAATTAATAATGGCAGCAGTTGGCAAACTCCGCGAACTTTTCGAAATCTATTTTTTTTTATCTGATATTTATCCGTCAAATATAAATAATAAAATATCTTCATAAGATTTTTGTATTATTTTGGCTGAGATTCAGAAATTATGATAATTCTGTCAAGTTGTCACTAGTCTGTATGCATTTTCTCTGATAAACTCACTTGCATCTTTTTGAATTTTAGATAACGAAATAATTATGAAACAAAATATGAGTTACAGAAACAATATTAAAATTTATGTAAACTATATAAAAGTGTGGGGAGATTTGTATCCTGATCTTTGGCAGTAATTTCCCATAATCGCCAATAATTTCCCATAATTTAAGGAACAAAAAAAAATGTTTAAATTAAAAGTATCTAAGAGCTAAGCCCTTTGTTATGATAATGTAAAAGTTTGCATTATAAGCACTGGCAAATTGTAATGTTTTTCTTTTGTTATGCAGCTAGTAATTTTTCAGAATAGTGATTACAAGTTTTTGGAAGTTCTCTTAGAAATCTCTTTTTTTTGTACTTAGGAGTTAATAGTTTTATTGTTATTATTCTCATATTATTTTAAAATAAATTTTGTTTTTTAATGAAATTAGGAAAAAACCTGAATAAAAAAAAATTCTTTAGTATTAAGCTGTATGCATGTCCTCTCCTGTTGTAACTATTTTATTTGAAGATCTAAAAATTCTCTATTTTGTAAATTAATAACTGCTTTCTAAAAATCTATTATTTTTACTACAGTCGCTTCCATAAAGTAGTAATGCAATTTTTGTATAAGTAGTTAAGTGAGAACAGGACTCATTATTCTTTTCTTTAATGAGAACATTTTAAGCATAACAATGAAGAAAAGTTTCCATTACTCTTTCACTGTTGCAATAGCTTTGAGTGCTAAATTACATTGTTCATCCTTACCTACTGTATTCATTGTTGTTTAATTATAATCTTATTGATATTTTTATTCTATATTGTATTGTTTCACGATAATATTATAGATATTTATAATTTTTATTCCATATTCCGTGTAGTTTAGTGATAATCTTATAGATACCTACTTATAATTTTTATTGCAGCTGAAAATGGTTCACTAATTTCTGCGACATATATCTTACTTACACCACGTTTCAAACCATCTTCTATCACAAATATAAGAAATAAAAAAAATGCTCAAAATTGCAACATATCAAAATTACTCCAAAGGCATTTTATGTTCAAATAGTGATGAAAGTTGTGTATGCTATTAATTATTTTTGTTGTATATTTTGTGGGCATTTATTCATAAATTTGAAAGAAATTAAACTAATAAAAGCACTTGATTTGTTTTTTAGTTTGAAAAATAAATTTATTCACCATTTAAAAATTTATAAATATTTGAACTAGCCATATTTTATTGAAGTAATTGTTAATTTGATATTGTTAAGTTTAATAATTGTTCAATTGACAATTTTCGACTATGTCTGCGGTGCGGATCATCTGTAATGATCAAGTATTGTTAGTTGTGTGTTGCTAGCGGGGAGCAAAAAGGAACATCTATCCTGGGCAAAATATTTAAAAGATGCCTTTCAATATTCCGAGTTTCAATTGCTAATTGTAGCCCCCAAAATTTTTAGATAAATTGAATAACATATATTTATTAATTTATTTTAGTTAACTTAAAATGGAAAAAGATGTCTTACTATTGTATTTTTTTGCACATCTTTTTTTTTTTCCTTATTTTTTACAAATTTGCCAAGATGTCAAATGAAAAATGCAACAAAAACGTTTGTTATTCAATAAAATATAAAATATTGAATTGTAAACGAAACTACATTAGTAACATATACTGTTAAAATTTATACTGAATCGAATGGAAGTTTATGAAGTTACGTTATAATTATTATTTAAAGTTGCAAAGTAAAATTTAGTAAAAAAATACCAAGTGCAGTTGTTTTAAGTTTGTACCTTAAAAACTTAAAGGGATTCCAAAAAAAAAATAACCATTTAAATCTGACACCAAGTTCTAAAGGACTAAAAAACTGATTTTGTTTCGTTTCCATAGGACTGTTCTCCCTAACTACACGTCTGCTTGTTGTAGAACATTTGATATAATTCTGTTCTTGACTCACTAAAAAACATTATCAGTCTTACATTTTAATAAAATGCTTATTAAATCATGTTTCTTATTTAAAGTTTTTGGTATTAAATTTTATTTATTTTGTATTTTTTTACAGTTCCAAAAGAAGTTGAAAATGTGACTGCAAGGAAGACTAGGTTTGTGGCTATTTCATTGAGATTCATGATAGTTTGAGCAATGTCTTTGTATACCTGAAATTCAGGAATTTGGTAACAAAACTAGAGAAATAACTAAGTTAGATGGCTCAAAGACTTGGAACACAACTACCTAATATTCTGTCAAATTGGGGATTGGGTGCATACTGAAATTATGGGTGGTATCTTTATGAGGATGAAGAAGAATTAGATGATTCATCAGGAAAATTAACCAAAGCCAAGCTCATTGGCTTTTGGAGACCAAAGTACAAAAATGAAACTAAGGTTTGAAAAATGTTTTGCTAAAAATCATAGAATGAAATTTGCACATGTACTAAATAAAGTTAGGCTGTAAACCTGTATGAATCCAGATATGTTTCCTTGCATTATTCTTTTGATGAGAAGTTTTAAAATGTCCATTATATTTTAGTTCTAATTAAGAAAAGTCGTTTATTAAAAAGCTATTTCATAGGCAAAATGGTTTAAGATTTCTTTTTTTATTATTTTGAATAATTGTTGTCATTTAAAAATTTAAATAAATAAAGATTGTATTTTTACAAATTGCTTTTTAATTAGTTTTTGTTTTTACTTTTGATAAGATTTTTAATAATTTTTCTTCCAACTTGTTAATCTCAGAAAAATAAGACTGTTATTTATATTTTTAACTTTTTATTTATCTAATAAATTAAATTTCATTTTAAATTTAGATTGTTACTTCAAAAATTAAATGTCGAGTTTCAGGACATTGCAGAACAAATTTTACTTTGTTTTATATGTACAGTAGAGTGTTGATAAGTTAAGGTGGACGGGACTGTGGCTTCCTCGAATTTTCTGAGAGTAAAATTATCGCAAATATAAAACTTATTAAACATTTAAATAAATGGTGATAATGTTATTGCTTCCCTTCATCGTCGAAGTAGCACAATGCCGCCTGGAGTTGCCTCGAGCTGTTGCTACATACTAATCGCATTGCAAATTCTAGAGCAGTGAGATCCTCGCCGTAACTCATTCATTCCGTGGAATTTGCCAGATTCTCCTTTTTACTGTCCTCTCTTATTGCCAGAGTTTCTATCATTTCTACACTGTCACCATCTGTAAATTCTAATTGTTTATCACTATTTAGCCATTGGTTTACCACTGTCTTGTCTGTGTTTTCACAATCTGAAATTTTTTTTATCATGTGAAATCTGGAACCTGGAATAGTCTGCATCAATGACGAGATCACTAACTGTAATTTCATTTTTCAACATTCAGGCGTAGTAATCGTTCTACTTGTGTGCATGCTGGCCATTATTTGGGAGCAAGAGTGATTTTTTTTCATTAGCTCTGATCTAAGGGAAACTCAAACTATTAAGACTCTACTGTGTATATATATGGGTCATTCTCACGAAAAGTGTCATTTTTCAGTTCATAAAATCCCAAAAAAGTAAAGTGAATAAAAAGCTCTGAAANCATAAAAAGCTTCAATTAATCTTTTTATGTTAAATCCTTTTCTTTTATTATTCTAATCGAAATACTTTCTCACACTTTTAAATTCACTTCCTGTCCTTAAATGTATTTTTGGCTCTACTATGCATTAATTAAAAGCAGGATATTTTTCCCTTTGCACTCTGTGAGAATCATTCGATCTATTTGATAAACCAATTACAATTACTAAGATTTCCTTTCCCTAAATTGAAATATTTTACGGATTTTACTTTGCAAGATTTTCCCTAACATATAATGAAGAAACACAACTTTTCGTACACACTTTCATGACTGCTCTGTCTTATAATTAATAAATAAGTTTTGTACCCTCCTTCCCGGCCTAAAACCTGTTTTAATCCTTCCTCTCGGCAATGATGTTATATATATATGTCTGTTTGAATTGAAATATTTTAATGTTTTAGCTGTCTACATGCTGAATTAGAATTATTTTTTCAATTCTAAACCTTCTTTTATTTGATATTTTTTTATTCTGTGCTCTGAAATATTTTACGCTTTTGACCAAACATAAGGGAGTTGCATCTGCTAATTTCTTAATTAAAGAAATTTTAAAGTTTCATCTGTATTCTTTGTTATCTTATCGATAAATTATTTTTCATTAAATAGTTATAGCTGTTTGTAATTGCTATATTCATTTTGAATTACACTGTGTTATAGATAAGCCAAACGTCTACTTCAAAACTATTTTTTAATAATTAAAACATGTTTCAATAACTAAAACATTTTTAATGTTAAAACATGTTATTTTCTGTTCTTATTAATTGTTATATTTTCTTATTTTATTAATAATTTTATATAAATATTAATTTCATATTCATATATTAATATCATATACATCAAATTCTATTAAATAACGATGTGTTTGACCTATTATTTTTAATTGAATATTTAATTTATATAAGAGATGTTTTCACGTATATGTCACATATTTCGTTATATGCCCTTTTGTTTATAATGCAAACAAAGTTTTTATGTTTTCATCTTTATAAGAAACAAGTGTTTTAAATGTTTTTTATTTATAAAAATTAAATAAACAATCATTATTTATTTCTAAAGGAAAAGCCTCACTTATAATTATGAATTTTTTTTTTTTAACATTAAATAATTATGTCATTTATAAAAGATGTGTGTACGTAATTAGTATATTATTAATAATCATTTTTAAAACTGAAAAATTACTAAAATATATTTTTATTTATTATTATAAATAAGGAAATGCTTTATTTATTATAAAAGAAAAATTTTCTATTTCATTTACATTTACAACTATATTTTTTAAAATTTATGTTTTTGGTCTAAAGTTAAATTTTTAATTTTGATACATCAAACAAACAACTTGTTTGTGATATAGAGCCATTACAAACAAGTAGAGAAATATCATTTTCCCTTGTAAGAAATATTTAAACTATCTTTAAATTGTATGTAATTACTTTTTAAAATTTTCGTAAACATACTATTTTATTTAGTTGTCATTGTCAATTTATTCAAAAAAATAAAAAATCTTTCAGCAGCTCTACTATCATTATTAAGAAGTATGCAAAATTTTAAAATTCTAAATTTTTATCTTCTCGTCCCTTAATGAGGCAGAAGTTGTGAAAATTAAAACAAAAATTAGTAAAATATCAAGAATTGTATATATAAAAAAGAAAAACATATTTTTAAATAACAATGCTTTAAAGGTACCATATTCTTAATTAATCTCTAATTTTAAAATTTTATACACTGTGGGTAAGAAAATTTACAATTATAAGTTAATAACTTCCAAATGGTTCCTAAATTTTAAAATTTCAGTTACTGTCATTGAAAAAGAAATAATTAAAGTGTTATTGCACTAATTTGATTTTTACATTTAAAAAAAAGATTTAAATATTTTCTAACTTCTAAATCTTAGAAAAATTAAATCTTTTATATTCTGTACTTGATAATTTTTATTATATTATTATTTATTATTATCATTAAATTTAGAATTGAATTTCAAAATTAGATTTTGTATTTAAAAATGAATGTAAGTAATTTTGCAATGTTTTACCTATTTTAATGTCAATTAATGAGCAAAATAAGTTTGAACTGCTCTATTCAAAATTCTTGGGCAAGTTTTTTTTTTTTGTTACATCAAAGATATATGCAATATAACAACCATTACTTTTTTTTAATAATCTGATTAAGTCTTTATAAGTATAGCCTGCACATGGTGTTCGATAATGATTGCTTTCAGTATACTATAATATTAGAGTATTAGCCAGTTGGGAAGTCAAAAAAATATACACAACATTAGGGGTTTCTTAAAAATTAAACACTTATCAATTCACTATTGAGGAATATGGGACTAAAAGAGCAAAATACTGTTTAAATGCCTGACCAAACTTGAAGCTGTTTCTCGGACCCTTTTTCAACCTCCATTTTATGTTGGTAATGTAACAGGTTTTGTTACTTTCAGATCTGCTTTCCTTAGAGGGGACTTTGATAGCGAAAAATGCCTCAAAATAGTTCAAAACTAGTTAAGCTCCTGGCACGTTTTTAAATATTCGATTTAGTTTTATTGAATTTAATTTAGTTTCATTAGAATAATTGTAGCTTGATTAATTGCCCCACAATAAGTGAAATTTTTATATTTTTTCAGATGCCAGATAGAACAGTTGGAAGATTAGAAAAACTCTAGCTGGAAACAGAATTAATGTAAGATTAGCCACAAGAATGGAGAATACATAAATGAAATTTTAAGTATTCCACAATATTTTAACTTATTTGAATTCATCTTTACAAACATAGGTAATTTGTGACTGTTTATAATTTCTTAAAATTTGATACCATATATTTTATGAATAGTAATTTTTGTATCAATATTATGATTAATTAATTACTAACTAAACATTCATTTAAAATAAATTCATAAATTCATTCATACTTTTTAAGGAAAAGCTGAAAATTCAGGGAATTTAAAATTAACTTAAAAATCTTTGGGATTACAAAAAAGAAAGAATTTTTTTTTTCAACCTGTAAATATTTAAATTTGATTTACTTTACTTTTTCAATGAATTTTTTATTTACATCTTACAGATAAAATTGTATGTTTTACAACTTTGGTCATTTCTGTTGACACAGCAATTTAAGGTTAATGAAAAGCTTTTGCTGGAATTTTTTTTAAAATTTACTTTATTGCAACAATATCAGGATAACAAAATCTTTTATTAAAATTTTAAATTAAACTTAAGAAAAGTTATTTAATGCAGTAATTTTAGGTTAACAAAGAGCTTTTATGTATACTTAATGAAAATTTACTTACTATAGCAATTTTAGTTTAACAAAAAGCTTTTATTAAAAATTTACTTGTAATTTTCAATTGTCTTTTTGAAACCTTTTGCTGTGTAATCGGAAAATCTATTTAAGTGACACAAAAAATTCAATATTGAGATTTATATATTCTGGCAACAACAAAAAAAATCAAATATCTTAAATTTTATTATAGTGTTGACTGCAAGATAAAGGTAAATCGTTGCCAATCCACTTTTCTCGAAATCTATCACAAAGCACTCGGGTTGTTTTTTTAAATTTGCATAACAGTATTTGTAAAAATATATATATTTTTTGTAAATGATTAAGGATGCGGTTTGTCTTTTGGTTGANACAAAAGTTATTCAGGGTGATATCTTTTTTTTTTTGCTGACTGTACCATACTGTGTAATAGAATCAGATAATATGTCAGAATGATGATGATTTTGTAACAATACTGGCACATAACTTTTTAATTTTTCCCCCTTTTTCAATTTTATTGGTGTCTTTTGCTTACCAATGGTAATCTCGTGTTTTTTTTTACTCGTGTATTGCATTTCTGTGTACATTATTTTTTAGAATTGTTGTTCTAAATCAGTTGCTCCTAATTTATTTTGGTTAATGAACATTAAACGATCGACCTTCTTTTAGCAGAGCTCGATAAATAACGTTCATTCCCAAGTGTGAACACTTTAACCAAAAAAAGATTTACAAATTATTTTGAAAAAACTAGCCGTAAAGAATGAAATTTTTTTTGATCTTTTTATTAATTACTGTTTTTTATTTTATGTTCAACAATTGAATTCTCAGGTCTAAGCAGCATCTAGCCCATTTCTGAATTTGTTCCTGGGTATATGTATAAGCTGAAACAGATAACATGATTTATTGTTTTTGTGAAATGAGAAAAAAAACCTATTATAAACATTAAGAATGATTTTCAGAAAAACATATTTCTTCATTTTAATTTTACTTCAATTACAAATAATACCACTTTTTATAAATGTATTTTCATTTTTTAACTGACATTTTGATTGCATAATTTCTTAAAATAACCAAAATATGTATTATATAGATAAGGGATTATTATAATTAGACATTAATATAACTACATATTTCAGAACACTTTTCACGTTAAGAAAAAATGCTAACTCTTAGAACTCTTGAAGGTTCAGCAGAACATCATTTTAGAACCGCTGTACTCTGTCATTGGTGCGTGACCTTTTTTTCCCCTCCTAATCACTGTCCACTTTACTCATCAAAATATTTTTAGCGTCCCCTATAAAATAATAATTATTTTATTTGTGCCATTTTTAGAATTTATTTTGTTGTTATACATCTGTTATAATGCCTTGTTATTGAAAATACACCTAACACCTACTGTTATATCGGAAACTTTTATTATACAAATTTTGTTGAAAATTTTTCATTTGTAAAATTTAAAAGTGTTTGTATGAAAATAAAATTAACAAATCACATTATGGTTTGAATGAAATAATTAAATAAAATTTTTCTTATATGGCACAAGTAATTTCATTTTAAAACAGGGTTCGTTGATTTAAATCACGATTTAAATCATGATTAAAATCAAATGATTTTTTTAAAAAAATAATTGATTTAAATCAACTGATTTATATATATATATATTATATTGATTTTAAAAGTTAAAAAACAGTGCTTTAAATTATTGATTTTTTTATTATTTTCTTTTCTTAGTTTTAAAATTTATTTTAAATAAATTGCTGCATTAATTAATTTTAGTAAACGAAATTACTTTCTTTCTTGGTGTGTGTTAAACACATTTAAAATTACATGTTTCAAAAATTTTTGATTCTTAACATTGAAAGTACAGATTAAAGTAAATATTTAATGCTGTCTTAATATAGACTTGCATAGCTGTAGAAAGTAAATAAAAATTATTTTTTTTTCAAAAGAGAAAAAGCAAATGCTACTTAAAATTCTACCTTTTGATTAAAAAAGCATGGAATTCAAATCTACATTATAGTTTATTGATGGAAATTTCTATATTTCTAAAGCTTGAGGTTATATTAAAAAGAAATTACCTTAATATGCCAAAAATAGAAAGAAAAAAAAGCTGAGTTCAGATATTTTTTTCCTGATATAGTGTCATTCTTCCCTTTCAAAGTCTATTTTAGTAAACGAAGTTACTAGTTTAGTTATTTTGCCATTTTATAAATCATGAGAAAAAAAAAGAGATCACAATTTTAAATTAAAATTGCTAATTAAAGTGCTAATTGAAACTTTGTGTTACTAGTTAAAGTAGTATTCTTTAAATTATCTATTTTATCTTGTTTTTTAATTTCAATCATGCCTTGGTATCAAAATGGTCGCTATGCATTATAATGAAAAATTATTTTAGTAAGTTAGAGCTTCTAAAATATTGTTATAATATAGTTTTAATATTAATTTAATTTTGATTAAACATTTATAAAGTTTTTTTAATCATAAATTAAAGCTCTTATAGTGTTTGAATAAAAATCAAAAAAATCTGATTTAAATCAAAAAAATCCGATTTAAATCAAAATAATCCGATTTTTTTGATTTTTTTTTAAAAAAATCAAAAAAATCACGAACCCTGTTTTAAAATGTAATCAGATCAACTTGTAACACATTGCCTTTGTTTTTTAGTACAGCTAATATTGAGTGAATACAGAAAAATTGAATCAGTTAGTAATGTTTTATAAATAAACAATTAGAAATTCGAAAGTAGTTATATTTCAATAATGTGCCTTTGATTTATAAAACAAAGAAGAAAATATACCAATTATACAAATAAACTAACTTAATGCACTAAAGTTCTTCTATAAAAAGAGTTAAAAGTGAAGGAAAAATGAACAAAAATGTAAACACTTCAAAAGATAAATTTTTATGCTTTTTTTAAATCAAGTTTAAGTTAAAGAATATGTAAATACAAAATATAGGGAAGGCACTGGGGCACAAAATTTTCGAATTCATACGAAGAACACAGTTCGGTTTAATGTTAATATTGTAAAATGGGTGCTACAGTATTTTCATGTCATTGTAAAAAAGTATTTTTTTCGAACGATAAACTATTTTAATAACCTAACTGTTTTAATATCAAATGTGCTAAGTTAGAATTATTAATTATTCTTCAATGCCAAAACCAAAAGATTTATGAATTTTAGTATCTAATACTAATTTTATCTATAATTTGTTAACAACTTTTTAGAAATCCCTAACACACCTTAAATTCCCATATAGATTCCCCTTAAACCCTTCATTGCACATTTGGGGGAAAAGCACACCCAGAGGGCAATATTACTCGAGATAACCAGGGAAAACTTATAATTTTTTCTCCAAGGATTAACTTCCTCAACAATTTTATATTGGGAGATTTTTAAAACGAGAAATTTAAGTGTCAGACTTTCTTTCATTCAATTAAAAGGAATTGGTTTAAATCAAGAATTTTATAATCTTCTGAATGAGGAGCTTCAAGTGCCTTCAAAATTACTTTTGCACAAAAATAGTTGCCACATACTTGATGCTTTTTCATTTCAAAATTATTGAAAAACTGCTTTATAGAAAGGTTTTGAACCTAAAAACAAAGTTTTTCAAAATGCTGGATTATTTTATTATTTTAAAAATAATCGATAATTTTTAGAAAAGTAATAGAGTATAATATTCGTGCTTTAATTATTTTGAAATATTTTAATAAGAAATTAATCTAAATGATTATATCTTTTATAACAAGCAGCAATGTTTTGTGAATTATTACTTGTTGTGACAATTACAGACTTGAACATTATATTTTTAACAATTATTAAGTAATAAGTATGTTAAAACATATCTTTATTGATGATGATGGATAAACTAATCTTCAATTCACAAATTGGGTGTTTGCGTACTTGGTATTGCCAAAACACTTTAAGAAATATATATACATGACATTTTGTGATGACTGCTCTTTTTTTTTATTTATTCTCTATAATTCTTAACATACTTTTATAAATTTAGAATGGTAAAAGTATTTTTAACAAATGATTTCTTTGAGAAACTTTTTAGAACGTAAAATGTTTTGACAATAAAAAGTGTCAAAAAGTACTTTGAGGCGAATTCATCAAGAGATTACTGTTTTTGTCCTTTTGCCCTTAACTCCATATTTTTTTCTCTTCCACCTCCAACAACGAGTTTTACGAACTGCCAGTTCCAATTTTTCTCATATTTACTCGGCCGTATAACTACGAGCCGGACATTCGGGTACCTATTTTAATTTAATTATATATGTTTTAATAATATTTGAAAATTAATTTATCTGTTATTACTATTTTATTGATATAGACAAAGTGAATCTGATATTAGTAATAATAAAAAAATGTCATAGACTCAACTTTCTATGGGTGATAAAAAAAAATTTGGGAGTATGTATTTTAAATTTTTTATTTTAATATTAGATTTATGTGAGCAAAAGAAATTTTGTTGATCTGCCAATAATTACAGCAAAAACTTTCATGAAAATTGTTATACATAATAGCTTTGATTTAACCATTTTAATGATGCGATGTCTTGCGTGCCATTTTGTAAGAACATGCAAAGCTCCAATACAAATCTGCTATAGTAGTATATATAGTCTAAATAAAATTAAAAATCCTTGTGTTTTTAAAACAAACTTTAATGGCAAATATCTAAATAATCCCCCAAATTAAACTTATTTACACACTTATTTATCTATTATACAACTTGTTTATACACATATTTATATCACAGAAGAATATCTATAGAATTTTTAATTTAGTGGTAATTTACGACATCTTCTGACCAAATGAATTCAGTGCCCCAATGTAGTAAAAAACCTAACTATTACTTTTAGGCAATGAGTATATTGTTTTATTTCATTGATTTTTAAAATTCTTTATACACTAGGGAACCGATTATCCGGAACGATCGGGACCATCGCTATTCCGGATAACTGATTTTTCCGGTTTTCTGAATCGCTACAAAAAGCCGTTTTTTTATTGTTAAACACAACTAAATAAAAATTTTTTTTGGAAATAATCTTAAAAAGAAGAAAAAACGATGGAGCAATACACTAATGATTATTTCCAAAATGATGGTAAGGTAAACATCTTTCAAAAAAGAACAAAAAATCCTAAAATTTTATAAGGGAAAAAAAAAATTTTTTTTTTATAATGGTGGAAAAATTTATCGAATTTTGTTCCGGTTATTTGGTTTTCCGGTTTTCTGATTTCCGGATAACGGGTTCTGTACTGTATTTGTTTGACTATTTATTTTATTTTAATTCTGTTTTTTTTCCTGCATAGGTGTGGTGTGTTAATGAAGACAGAAGTGCATCTTGTGAAGTTATTTTAATTTCTCACCATTTTTCTTATTCTTAAATTTATATTTACTTTGAATAAAATATATACTTATTTGGATGATGTTTTAATCCTTGTTCCATTAATACTTTTAACCTATTAAACGTGTAAATATGGAAAAGTATTATGAATTTGAATTCATTAACTGGCTTTTCTCAAATTATTGTATCGTAAAAATCAGCGTTTGATCATTGTAGTCATGAACTTGTTTTTGTCATAATGAATGCCAAAAACTGGTTTTAAAGACTAGGATCATAATCACAATGTCATAATGCATGCTAATTTTTTATAGTGTATTTAAAACATTAGTTTAAGACACAAATAAAAATTAATAACCTATGAATATTGTTTGGCTTTTAGGAGAACTCGTCTAGGCTTGCACGATTTCTGGTTAATATGACTATAAAGAACAAGACCCTTGGAACAGGGATGCTGAATGCCTAGTTTTGTTTTGATTTTGAAAGGAGTCGGTGTGAGATTCTTTCCTCCTCTAATTATAGTATCTTCTTCCTTTTTTCTTGTTTTCTGAAAAAGTAACTTATGATTATTTAAAAGAATTTTACATCAGCTCTTTTCTATTTAGATAACCTTCTTGTTTAGTTAAATTAACATCAATGCCCATTCATTTTAAGAAAGGTGAAGCATTAAAATTACAAGCTACAGGGATGAGATTTTTCCGCTTTTTAGCGGATCTTTGCTTTTATCGCTTTTGTCTCGAATTTCAGCCTTTTTTTATCAAGAACTCCGATTCTCTAAAAGTTTTCTTTTTTTTTATAAATGTCCCGCTTTTTTTAAAAAATTCAGTCGTTGAAATAAAATAATTATATTTATTTACGGTTTTCAAAGATAAACAGAAAATTCAAACTACGTCCTAGCTGCTAACCCTTCCGTATTTTTACATATTTTAGCTATTTTCTCCGCTTTTACGCATAGAAAATAAGATTTTCCCTATTTTTATCCGTCCTCTAGATAGCTCGTATTTTCGTAATTCAGACGTTGCTGCTTCCAGAGTTGGCCAAAAATTTAATCGATTACTTGTAATCATGATTACAATTTTCAAAAATTTTGATTACAGCTGTAATCAGGATTACAATATTAATTACAGTAATCAATTACTTGTAATCGTGATTACAATTTTGATTACAGCTGTAATCATGATTACATAGTCGATTACAGTAATCAATTACTTGTAATCATGATTCCAAGTAATTGTGACTGCAAGTAATCGCAACGATAACGATTACGGGTAATTATGATTACAAGTAATCTAAATACACTATTACAAGACAATTGTATTCTTTTAAATGATTCTATTTTACAGTAGATAGTATAATGTATTTTATAATGATACATTTTGTACGTTTTTGTATATGTACAAATGAATGTAACTAAAATGTATGTACATATGATTTTATCTAGTGCATATGTTCAGACACTTTAGTTTCACACACATGTACATACACTTATATTGTAAGTATAAAATATATGTACATATGTATATAGCTAATAATTACATATGTATGTGCAAACAATGTAGACATGTACATTTATACACAATGAATATATGCATTTTATGCAAATATTAGTGTATGTAAAATGTATATCTATGTTCATGTACGATGTATGTCCCGTGCATGCATGTGCAGTATAATATATGTATGCATGTACAATATATATAGTATGTACAATATATGTATGTATACATGTACATGATATGCATGTCCAATGTATGGATGTACATATACACAATATGTTCATGTTCAATGTATGTATCCAAATATGCATAATACATTTGTGTACGATTGTACGTACATTGGGCAATTTACATTTTACATATATTCATACATACATTCGACACACATAACGTATGTACATACACACATTTGAGATGCATATATTGTACAGATATATGTACCTACATATGTACGTTACATTTACGTCTAAATACAGTGGGTGATCGGTTAACGAACATAATTCATTCCAAGACTATGTTCACTATCCGAATTGTCCGTTAACCGATCATCGATTCACCATAGACTTCTATGTGAAATCGATTAATTCTTTCTGGAGACCCTAAAAATTAAATTTAAAAAAATTTATAATTTCTTATTAAGTTTTTTAAAAAATAATACATACATATAGTCTTGCATATTAATCAGTCCTTTTCATGTTTTGCTTATGGGGCGTTGAAGAACATGTCCAATGTCGATTGCTTTTCTCTCTCTTTCAGGATTTTCCTGAAGTAATTAATAGCATTGTCATTGTAAAAATCCCAAACCCTACTGACATCAGCTTAGTTTGGGTGCCATTCTAAGACCATTGCTCTGACATCCTCCCACTTTTTCGAAAGATCTTTAACGGCAGATGTCGGCATTGGTATCCTCTTTCGTCTTCCTCTTGTTCAGAAGGAGACACATTCCGCTGTGTTTCTTGGTGTTCTTCATTTAAAATTTCTTGGAGTTCTTCTGTCGTCAGTTCATCTTCATGTCCCATTATGTGTTCTTCTATGTCATCCTCGTTCACCTCCAATTCCAGATCTCTAGCAGTTGTCAAAATTTTATCCATAATTTCAGGAGTGACTCCCTGATCACCTCCGTCACCTTGAAAGAAGGATGGACACAGCTTCCGCCAAGCAGAAAACAACTGTTGCTGTGTGACTTCTGACCACGCCTTTTGAATGATACGAATAGCTTCAAGAACGTCAAATTTTTCTTTCCTAAACTTTTTTGAATTCATTGTTGAGGAGAATTGGCTTGCTTCAAAACACCGACGAAACAGCGTGCGAGTGTACAATTTCTTGATGGCCGCAATAACTTCCTGATCCATCGGCTGAATCAGCGAAGTCGTATTCGGAGGTAAAAACTGAACTGTCAGCCAGGGAAAGTCTGTCAACAAATTATCTTCAAGATCCTTTGGATGTCCTGGTGCATTGTCCAATAGCAGCAGTGCTTTCAACGGCAAGTCATTGGTATCAAGGTAGTCCCTGATGCTAGGGGCACAAACTAGCCATTCCTTGAAAAGATACTGTGTGACCCATGCCCTCTGATTCGATCCCCACATTACTGTCAGTTTGCTCTTAGTTATGGAATTTTTTTGAATGCTCTGGGATTCTCAGAGTGCTAAACGAGAAGTGGTTTAACTTCATATCACCACTAGCGTTAGCTCCCAAAAGTAACGTCAATTGGTCGTAGGTTTGTATCAATACTTTTTTTTGT